CAGGCTGACGCCTGGCCCTGGAATGACAGTTCGCAGCCTCTTTCCTGGAAGGTCACCCAGGCAGTCTCCTCTGAACAGTTAGGCCCCTCCTGAGCACTTGGGAATGGCACAGAAGGCGAGGGTCCTGTCCACCAGGTTGGGTGGACACGTGGTGTCCAGCTGAGTGTGCGAGGCTGGGGCTGCTGGTCTCCCTCCCTCCCAGCTGAAATGCATTCCAGGTTCTGAGACTCAGTGTGTCGCAGGGCCACCACAGCCACTGCAGCGGGTGACCTGGGCAGGCCACGATCCTCAGGCCAGTAGGGGCAGGATGGTTGAGCAGTCTAGATGTCAAGGGTTGCAGGAAATGAAAGAGGAAAGGTCTGGAGAAAAGCTGTCTTAAAAAGAAATACTGGAAAGGAAACAGAGAAAGCGGCCAGAAAGAGTAAAACAGTGCAGTTCTTTTTTTTTTTTTTTTTTTTTTTTTTTTGGTTTTTGGTTTTTGGTTTTTCTCCGGTACCGGCAACCGAACTCACGACGTTGCGCTTGCCAGGCAGGCACTTTGCCGCTGAGCTAAATCCCCCGCCCCAAAACAGTGCAGTTCATAAGAGCCAAACCTTGGTATTGGTCCACCAGCAGATGAATGGATAAAGAAAATGTGGTCTTTATACACCATGGAGTACTACTCTGCCATAAAGAGGAAATATGTAGGAAAAGTGATGTACTGCACCCTGAGACCATAATGTTAAGTGAAATAAATCAGACATACAAGTTTAAATACCATAAAGAGCAAAATGCATAAAAAGCAAAAGAAAAGAAGGGTAATAGGGAAAAGGGGGATAGATCTTTTGCAAAAGGAAAAGGGGCCAAGAGATGGAGGGAGAGGGGAGGGAGGAGCAGGGGTAGGAATGCAGAAGAAGAACTGAGACGCCTTAGGCCCAGGCACCAGCTCCCTCGAGCTGCCTGACCATTATGTGCTGCAAACACGCCCTAGAGAGAAATAAAAACTGAGAAAGGCAATGAAGTCCTTTAACCCAAGATCAGAAGAGCAGCTTGCCACTGTCCATCCTGCTGGGTTACTTAGCTTTCCTTCATAGGACTGACCACCGCCTGACCTTTTGTACTATATATGAGTTGGCTCTTTATAGCTGCTCACACAACAATACAAAGTTTCAAGAGAGGGAGGATTTGCTCTGCTTTCTTTGTAACTCAGGCCTCGTGCTTGGCACACAGTAGATGCCCAATGCATGGGCGGCAGGCAAGCAGTTGGTACCGAACCAGTTTAACATTCTGCATCAGTCGGACAATCACAACAGCTTAAAGCACTTCGTAATCCACAAGCCTCTTGTTTAACTCGGTTCCTCAGAGTTTCTCTTGCTGAGCTGCTCCATCCATGAGGAAATGACCCAGGAGATGCGCAGCCTCTACAAGGCAGCCCCCCGATAGACAGCCAGAGCTGCCTGCACTGTGGCTTGGCTGCACCCTCTCGGAGCCTCGAGGACAACCAGACTGCAGAACTGTAGGGCCTGCCGCTAACTGGGCCATCGCCAAAATGACCCAGTGCCCTGCGGCCAGGTTCATCGGCCTCCCCGCCCAAAAGACCTCTCTTTGGTGGCCTGGGAGGGACAGAGTGAACACAGAGGCAGCACTGAGATGGCCAAAGCTCTGGTGCTCGATTCAGACTGCCTGGGTTCCTCTCACCCTTGTGGACCTCAACTGGAATGTGACTGTGAAAATAATGACAGCGACTTCACAGGGTTCTTGTGCAAGATAAACGAGCGTCTAGAACCAAGCCTGCCTGGCACATAGCTCGAGACGATGGCTGGGGCAGCAACAGCGTTGCCATCGTCATCCAGGGCCCAGCAGCGTAACCTGAGTCACCTAATCTCCTTACTGGACCTTACTTACCTCTCCTCTAATGCGGGGATAACCTGGTCACAAAGACGGAGTAAGGAACAAATCAGACCATGTGCATTAAGCCCTCAGCAAGGCACTGGTACATATTGAATGTTTCATCAATGTGAGCTGGTACCTTATTATCATTCAAGAGCCTTTTACTAGTCTGAAATGCTAATGTGAAGATTTGCCGTGTGCAAATAGGTCTTCAGAACACAGCTTTGACAGCTGCAGGCTTCTCACCCTACCCGCTCTGGGCTTTTGTTGCTCCAAGGATAAGCCTTGCCTCCGAGGTGGGGCTAGGACGAGCTGGGAGGTAAGTTCTCGGCACAGGGCCTGTCTCTCCCTATGAGGCTTGGTCTCTGCCAGTCCAAGTGTCGCATCACCCCGCAATGCTGGCAGTGAGCAGGAGGACATGCAAATATGCCCTAAAAACGGCTTGCTATTTCAGGGCCCAGAGAGTACCCGTTTGTGGGTGGCTGTGAGCACAGCATGTCACGGTCAAGTACAGGGCGCTGGCCACCACTTTGGGGTGGCTGCGAAATACGAAAGCGGCAACCCGAATAAAGGCCATTTCCGAAAAAAGGGGGACACTCTTCCAGGCCCTTTTCTGGGGAGATAGCAACCCAGTCCTCCACGTGAATGCAGCTGGGCCAACCCCGGCCCGGGCTTCATCAAGCCACTCACCAAGTGGGGATGGGGACACTGCTCAGCTACAAGCACACGATGGCAATTTGACTGCGGAACGGTTAGGAAGCAGAGACTTTGGGGTTACAGGGCTGGGAGGGAAACTGGCAGCAAAGCCAGAGACAAGGGCCCCCCACGAGAAAGACAGGACACTACGCCAGGAAATGCTGTCAACGGCACAGAGTGACGGACAAAGTCTGGAAAAATCTGATCACGGTCTACCTCACCTTACAGTCAACAGTCTTTAGTAGGCGCCTTCTGTGTACCTAATGAAGGTGTCTCAAGCACAAAGGCCACAGGAAGGACCAGGCACTGGACGGAGATGAAGACAGCCAGCAGGACAAATGCAAAACCAAAAGCACAATCAGGACCAAGTAATGGGGAAGTGGGGGGCCGGGGCAAACTGGAGGAAGGAAGCAGTGAGGTGGCTGTCTCCACTCCGTGCAGCGCAGCAGTTGCCGTGCCTGAGCAGGGCAGTATGACCAGATCTTCCCATTTTTTAATTGCAATGTTTAAGTGAAATGTTGGTTCAAGTTGCTTTTTAAATACTGCACAGGCCAAACAAAACATATCTGAGAGCCAGATCCAGCCCACAAACAGCCAGCTTGCCACCCGTGGCTGGGCCCCCAGAACCCCTTCTTTGCAGTTTTCATGGTGCTCAGAGGAGAGAGGAGGTGACCCATAGCTGTATAATATCTTGGGAGCCCCTCTCTCTGGCTCCGGAGCCTCCAACCTCCTGGGCGGGGAGCGAGGCCCATCCTTCCTGTGAACACTCCCTCTGGACAGAGCCCTGCACCTCTGATACTCAGAGATACCCCACACCCTGCCCACCTCCCCTCACTGGCTCCTTCTGTCTGGTGGCTACTCTGCCAGGCCCCTGTAGAAAGGGCTCTTTTCGGACTTGCCCAGGAAAACATTTGAACAAATCACAAGTTTGGGCCAGCATGTACTTCACTGACGCTGAGCCATGCTGGGGACTTCTGCTTCTCACCAGTCCCTGGAGAAAAGCTGCCATTCTGCATGTAAGGCTTGTGAGAGCTGCAGGTGCAAGGGACCGGGAGGAGGGGCAGGGCAGTGCATCGTACTCTGTGTGAGAGGCCTTTGCCTCCCCTGTCTCAGGCAGATGTTGCTGGGGATTGAGGCCATGTCCAGCTCTGGCAGCTGCTAAATAAGGGAGGTCACACCACCTATTTTCCAAGTTCCCTTGCTCAGCCCCAAACTGGGGCCAAAAGAGGTGAAGGCACCAGTGTGACAAATAATAATAAGTTTTAGAGTTAACTCAATAGTAGCACTTTCCTCTATACTTTTCAAAATACGCACACATTTCCATTACTCTGCCCATCCAACACCCAGGGAGATCGCCAAGACATCATTATTTCTTAGATCATCAGGCTTCCCTTGCCTCTCAAAGCAGCCTCTAGACCTAGCTGTGTATGTGTCCATGGATTCCCAGGGGAGCTGGTTAAAATGCAGATTCCGAGTCACAGATGTGAGGTAGGGCCGCAAACCCCGTTTACACTACTGGTCTTCACGCCACATTTTGAGCAGCCAGGCCAGGGTTCCACAGCATGTCAGGGTTAGGGCCAGTCCCAAGACTCTGGAGTGAAAGGATGCACTCACCTCACTTTTCACAGGTTGGGGCCTCTTGCTCAGTTTCACCTCCAGGAAGTGCAAGGGTGCAATCATGGCCCCAATGTTGCGGATGTCGGCGTATTTCAGCTCCTCTGCAGTTAGAGCTGAGCTGGGGAGTCCGGTGAGAGGACCAAGCCCTGGCAGAGAGCCTGCGGTCACAGAAGGGTCTGGGATCTGCCCAGGCATCATAGCAAGAGGAGCAACCAGCCAGCCTGGAGTGGGTGAGAGAAAGCAGGACAGAACATCAGCTTTGAGGCCAGGAGCTCCACACCTTGCTATCCCTTCTTTTGCCAATGTTCCCGAGTCCCTTGCACTCCTGGGTGCTCTTCTTGCCCGTAGGTCCTTTCTGTTACAGAGGAAAATCAATTGATTCACAGCAGTCACCCATCCCCGGCACTGCTGGGATTGGCCCCTCCCCCAAGGCAAGACTTAACCCAACCAAGGGCAACACTTACGCAGCATTTGCTCTGTGTCAGACCCCTTGATAATCCTTCTACCTGCCCCATTAGCCCGGCCCAGAGCCCCTTGCATGGAGGAGGAAGGCGGGACATAGAAAATAACTCGCTCAAGGCTGAGCGCAGTTAAAGTGGGGGGCTGGGATTTAAATGGCACTGCGCTGTCTCTGAAGAGACCGACTCTCACGGTGCAATCTCAAGCCCCTTGGTACCTGTTTGAGACGGAGCTATTTTTGGTCTGGCATGGTGCCGCCCCTCAAATCACACGTCCTAGTCTGCACACATGCTAAGACTCCCTAAATAAAAGATAAAGCAAATCCAAGTGGAAGGTGAGCATGAGAGTGGGCATGTGCGTGTGTGTGGTGTCTGTGGGAAGATGCTGAGGCTAAGGACAGGGAATTAATTAGCACCTGCTTTCCTGGTGGAACCCAGTACCAGAAAATTCCCCCACGGCCCCCCCATTCTCACAGCAAACACGAGCTCCGGCTCTGCCAGACCCAAGGGGGTTACCAGGGAGGACAGGCGCAGGCACACAGGAGGGCATAAATGAGACAGGTCGGCACAACGGGAACCCTTACTTCTTCCCTCCTTTCACTGGGGGAAACTCATAGGTAAAGGTCAGCCATTGTCTTCAGTGCACAGACGATGGTGAAGAAAGCTTGTCTGACATGTCCAGGCCCTCAAAGGGCTCCTACCCATCCACCCACCCACCCATCCATCCACTGCTGACTAGCTCCTCGGAGCCAGCAGGGTAGACATGAACAGCTCGAAAGCAGCCTTGTTAGGAGCACGCTACTCTAACACTACCCAAGCATTCCAGTACTGCAAAGGAAAGCGTTCCTCCCTCTTCCTGTCAGCACAGGGCCATAAAAATCAGAACCTCACTGTCCTGGAGATCTCTAGGGGAAACCTTTGACTTGCCCTTTCCTCTCAGCCTGCCCCCTTCCACAGAAAAGGGTGTATCTGCAAACAGGGGGGATGGGATGTCCACCAGGCCATGCTTCCCTGTTGGGCAGAGGTAACCTGTTCATATGGTCATGCGGTCCTCACATGGGAGTGGCTCTAGCAGGTGACTCCCAATCACCTCCCCTCCTTCAGGTCCTCAGGTCTAGAACTGAGAAAGGGACTCAAGAGGGAGCCCCTTGTGGCCACCAGCACAGCCACATTCTCCCTCCACCTCTTTCTTTTCAAGAGTGGCATCTGGTGCCCCAGCCAAGGCTGAGGCCTGATTCTTAGTAAGTTCTGCACCTTGTGGCAGGGGTGTGGGGGTCCTGTGAGTGACTTGCATCCTCAAGCCACAAAGGCTTCTACTAAATGTCATTTTGTTTAAGGAAAGGTGCCTATGAATGGACAGTGTGCTTGCTACCCATCCCTGGCACATACACAGCCTCTGCCCATCCCTCCCTCTGCTGGCAGGCCCTGCCTCCTGCCCACACTGGTAGCTATTTGGTGACCCCAGGCTTTCATCTGTGCCCACCCACTCTATCTCTGCTCCCTTCAGCACCCCCACACACACCCCATATCCTTTCTACCCCTCCTTAGCACTCAGAGTCCCCTCAGACAAGGACCTCAGACTCATTCACGTTGAGTGATCATCTCCAAGCTGGGGCAGGCCCTGTGCTCCTGTAAACCACATCCTCACTTTGCATGTGAGGAACATGAAGCTCAGAGGTTAAATGACTTGCCCAAGGTCACACAACTAGAGAAGGACAGAACTAAGGCTAAATACCTGCTCCTTGTTTTGTTTTCCCTCTTGGGGCCCAAGAGGCGTGGATCCCTGCGGCAAAAAGGACTTTTCACACATGAGCTCAGGATGCACTTTCACACAAGCCCAGACGAGACGATCACTTTCTTCGAAGAGGACCTCCTACGGAGATCAGGCTCAGGAAGTTCCCCGGATAACCCCATGGCAGCCTGAGTGGGGGCTCAGATAGAAACAGCACCCAACACCACTGTGCCAGGGGTCTTCAACAGGCTGTGGTCGTCCAGCACTCTGAGGTTAGTAAGGGAGCCACCCCTCCACCCGACGTTGGCCTGCAGCACAACAGGGCTGCAGGACTGCGGCTGCCACATCAGGAGACAGCTGTGGGCTGCCCATCTCCCTGACCCTCCTCCGGGGAGGGCAGGAAAGCAACCCGGTAAGGACCCACTCTGATGCAGCAAAGCTGTGCCTGGGCCCGGCCACGCCCCCCCTCCCCCCCACACCCCGGCAAACAGAGAGGTGATTTCAGGGGGCAGACAGCTGCTGGGTTGCTTGTTGTTTGGGTGACCCCAGTACCCGCTTCACGTCCGGCCCAGAAAGGGCAATAAAGAAATACTTGCTGCAATAAACGAACGAATGATCATCAAGTAACGACAAATTCACGGCAGAGCACAATTCAGCAAGTGGGTTAGGATCTGCTTCTGGAAGGTTAGAAACTTGCTACCAGGCCGTAACTTCACCCCTAGGTTCTTCCTTCCCGCAGTAAACCTGGGAGAAATACCGCAGAGGTTCCATACGTCTCCCCGTCCAGCCCTCCCTGGAGATGGAAGCCAGACCCCACGTGTTCCCGGAACAGAGCCTGCTGTAGCTTCTGTTTATCTTCATGCAGATGGTATAAACGAGGCACGAGCAAATGCTCCCAAAATATGAATTTTCTGCTACTGGGAACCCCTCCCCAACAGAAAGCCACCCCTTGGAGTAGTGGCCCCATAAACCCTTGCAATTCCTGCTGCCCTATAAACCTATCCCAAGGCCAAGCCTCACCCAGGGGACCAGGCACCAGGCTCTCCTTTGTAGAAGCAAAAATCTTCCTGTCTTTCCTTCCCCTGCAAGGGAGCCCCTAACTGCTTGGATACAAACCACAAAGTCCTTAACACATGCCATTCCTTAGGCACAACCGCAAGACTGACATTCACCAGCAGGACTGACATTCACCAGTGAGAAGTCATCCCAGCTGTCTCTGGGGGAGGGGAAAAGGTGGAGGAGCAGAGCTGCTGGATCCTCATTAACTGCAAAGAGCCGGCTGGTCATCTAAGGCTGAACAGCAACTTCGGTGATTTGAAAACTAGAACAATTTCAAATGATTCAAGGGTCTACAAAAGTGGGGCTCGATGGTAGCAAGAACCCAGTAACAGCCAGAAGGAACTTACCCACTTCAAGGACGACATAGGAAAGATGACAAGAGGTGAAATCATCTCCCAGACTGGATGTTCCATACGGAAACAATTTAGTGGGAAAAGGAGAACTACGTACTAAACATTTTAGGAGAGGAACCCAGAGATTTTTTTCCCTTCAGGGCCCAGGAGGTCTATCAGGCAGATAAACACCCACCAGTCTCTATGCGTAATGGATCCATACAGAGCAATCGCTGTGCACGGGCAAAACATCAAGACTGAGAAACGAGGCTCATGCCTCAAAATATAGGCCTAGAATCCAAAGAGACTCTGGCAATTTGGGACACTGACCAGGAATAGATGGGAAGCTCGCCAGTGAAGAAAAGCTAGGGAACATACAAGCCCAAGATGGGTTCTGACAAGCCAGGCACAAATAAGACAAAAAGTGTTCAGAAGGTCACAGTGGACCCCGAGCTGTAGCTGAGCCCGAGATTATGGGGGAGTTGATGTGGCTCCCTAAAATCCAGCTTGGGGCCAACTGGGGCCAGATGGACTCAAGTGGAAAGAACTTGAGGAAAAGATCTGCTATCTATATCGCTCTGCTCTGACTTTCACAGGGACTTGTAAGGACACAGTTGGTGCCGCACTGTAGAAGCAGGAGAAAAAGCCACAAAGCATTTCAGGTCCAAAAATATCTCCTGGGCGATATTAACATGAAGAGTACTTCAATCCAAATAGATGTAACTTATTCAGCGGGTTCTCTCTTATTTCCTTCTCTGGTTTACTGTATGCAGAGCTAAGCCTTCTTTTCAATGGGGGAGTCTGCAAGCAGTCTTGCTTAGATGGGCCACACTCGTACAGGGCCACTCTCACTAAAACGACTCAAGTATCAGCCTCTTCATCTGGAATACCAAAAACAGCTCTTTTTTAAAAAGGACAGGTTAAGAGAGAAACTTAGGAGCTATATCACAAACTTTCTGTCCATAGATTTTAAGAGAGGCTATAAATCCGCCCCCCGTCATAGACCAGCTGCCTTGGGCTGGCATAAAGAAGGGGAATGAGGTGTGAGTGGGTGCAGACGGCCTCCGGCTCAAGGCCGGTGTTAAGATGAGGTGCTGGAAAGTGATGTAGCATGGTCGCGGAGTGAGCGAATGCCAGGGGCAAGACAGCTGACAAGAGTAGGGTTAGGAGTCAAGGGCAGGGAGCCAGCAATGGAGAATCCGCAAGAGTGGGGAGCAGGAGGTCAGGGAGCTAGAAAAGGTCCTCCTCAGAAGGACGTCCCCAAGATCTCCAAGCAGGGGAGGGAAAGCTTTCAAGACAATGGCCTGAGTATAAATCCTCACTCTGTCCCTTACTAGCTGGGTGACCTTGGGCAAGTTCCCTAACTTTTCTGTGCCTTACTTTCCTCAACTATAAAATGAGAATAAAGTCATTTGCCCAGTAAGGTTACCAAGAGGGGTAAATTAATATTTGGAAAGTACCTGGAACAGCGCCTGCACAGAAAGTATAAAGTCAGTGTAACCACAGGACCTTCCTTCCTGTAGGGATATTAGTATTAGATGACCCTCAAAATCTCTTTTGGATGGGTCTGCCTTTCCTACAGCCATGAGGATGATTCTCCCCAGAGGAGTCTCTACCTCCCACTCTCAGCCCTAGACCCC